GTGATGGAAAATGGGAATTTTTATTTCTTAATTCCTTGTTCTGAGAAGCAGTGAAGCATAGCATTTAGAGAACTGGTTTCAGAGTAAGGAGAGAGCTTAATTCAAGCCCCACCTTTATAATGGTTGTATGACCCTGGAGAATTCATTCAACTTCTCAGTGGCCTGTGCAATTCTCCAAGACTATAATCTGGAAAGGGAGGCCTCATTTGCTTTAGAAGAATAAGGGTTAACCTCAGTGGACACTCCTTATACTAGTGGAATCACAGAAATATTCCAAAAACATCCTTTTAATTGTAAATCTTATTTAAAATGCTATTCATAATTTTCTCTAAGAGAAAATTTTGACAAAGATTTCTATTTTTATAGTAAAGGTATAATTAGACAGAAGAGAAAACTATATTTTTAAAAAATAATTTACTAATTGTATGGTCTTGGTTATTCAAATCACAAGGCCCTAGTCAAGGCACTTCTGTCCACCTGGTGGCAGTGTAGTTTAATCAAAATAAGCAAGATAATATAAAAACAGGTACATGTAACATGATGGAAAGATCTCTGGACTTGAAATTTTGGACATATTATCTACTCTTAGGCCAGATACACTATCTTGTGCACTTCATGGCAGATCATTTTATCCCTCTATCTATTTCTTCATCTGTAAAGTGGGCATAATAATAATTGCATTATCTGCTTCCTTGAGTTGCTTTAAAAAATATTATTTGCCATTATTGTGAATAATGGCCTTGAAAAACCAGAACTAGAGCACATATCACACATCATCTTGGTTTTTTTTTTTACAAAAGGAAATCCACCAACTATAATTTTAATCTTAACCTGAAAATGTATTTATTAAGATTTATAAAGGTTTTTATGGTTCATTTGTACAGGAAGATCATAGGTAGTTTGATTTTAAAAATTTACCCAATGTTTTTAATGATTTTAAACTGTTCTTTGGTTCAAAGGTCCATCTTTTCAACACATATATTTTTCCAATGATGCTCTAGGGTTGCAAATCTTGTAACCTCAAAACACCTGAGGAATAGAAATTGTAGTTGACTCAAAGGCAGATAGGGTATTTATTCTTGGTGGTTACAGGTAGATTACAGCACATTTGCAATGATGACCTACACACTAGGAATGGCAAGACATATGTATTTTCAAGAAAATGGATGGTTAGAAAAGCAGGTGAACTGGTCATGTAGTAAAAAACAGAAATTGACAGTAAGAATGTTTCACTAGTACTAAATAATTGCAAATATACATGTATATATACACACACACATATATACACACATATATACATATACATATATACACATATATACATATACATACATATATATATGTGTATGTTTATAGTGAAAAGTCTATATTATGTTAGTTGAATCTAGCATGGAGGACAGATGAAAGAACATGGAAAAAAATTACACAGTTTGAAAAAGCGTAAGTAAGAGGTACTTGTACTGATGAAGAGAATATCCAAATCCAAGAGATCACAGTTCTACTGAATTATGTTTATATGGTATTAATCAGTATAATTTGATTAATATAACAAAACACATTCTGTCTCTGAGTCACGAGCTGTGGAAGGTCCATACCAATGAGGCACAGTTTAAAATATCGGCCTGGTGATGACTTTAATATATGCACCAGCCTAGCTAAGTTCAGAATGGCTTGTGACAAAGTTGGACACAAATGATTACATTTTCACAGTCATAACAACCCTCAATGATCCTCTATAAACTGTTAATAGGGTTGTGTTGGTAAAGAGAGAGCTCTATAATATTAAAGTTCAGTGAAATATTGAAAGATGAAAAAGTACTAGATATTATGGGCCTTCATATAAAAGGAAAAGAGAGGGACATGGAAAATCAAAGATTTAGTATTTTGATGAAAGCAACTGATCAATTAAAACAACCAGCTTAATCAGCTGTTTGCCTGAATTCATCAATTGTGTAAGTCAATGTAAAGAGTGAAGCCAAGGCTACACACAGCTTACATTCAAAGTGACTGATTTTTAAATTTTCATTTTTTTTTACTACAAATTCTCTTAAGACTATAAACAGCAGAGGAAAAACAACATTGGCTCTGCTCTTTTAGTGATTAAGCCAAGTTTTTTAAATAAATTGCTCATTCTTTTTGGGTGACAGGACATTAACACAGTGTCAAATCAGATCGCTACACACTCAAAATTAAATGTATGATGATATATTTCTCCCAACTCCTACCTGTACCCCTAAATAATAGTAATAAAAAATAACTTATATGGAACATGAAGGGGGCTATTTAGGTGCCTTCACATCAATATCAAATAAGTGGTACCCTGGCATTATAATAGTTCTCCTCACATTATATATCTATTTTTCAATTGAAATCATCAATGTTCCATATGATTTTTGATTTCCATAGCAAAATATAATTTTGTACAATTTTCTGTGTCTATAGGGAAATATCACAAATAGCAGGCAACTACACACTTGAGGAAATTAAGTAGGACATTTTTTACTGATTTGCTAGATCTGTCAAGAATTTTCTTTCAGAGTTAGAAGGAACCTCAGAGATCAATCTACACCAACTCTCTCATTTTACAGACGAGGAAACTAAATCCCAGAGAAGTTAAATATATTGCCTGGGGTCACACTGTAAGTTAGTGGCAAAACCATAAATGGTTAGAATTCAGTCTGAATCACATACTAGTTTTCCAATCTCATGCTCTTTCTGCTCCTCTGCACTGTTACTCTTTTGTGATTTAATTTGGTCTTAATTTGGGATTTCATTGATGCAAGGAAATCCAGGTGAGAAAATTTCCTCTATAAATGTAGATAGGCTACTACAGTCTTTTAATCTTAGAGAGTTGCCTGAGAATTTAATTAACTTGCCCTGGGTCACACACATTGAGTATGTATTAGATATGGGACTTGTACTGAGGTCTTCCCAATTCTGAGCCTGGATCTTTGTCTACTATAGTATTCTTTTCTCATATTATACTTTATTATCAATCACTAACAAGCATATTTTGAATGCTGAATAAAGTGGTTATTATGAATTTGCCTTAGGCTGGGCAAGCATCAATATCAATTTTAAAAAGTATTAATTTTGGAAAGCATTTTCCAGGAATCAACACTAATGATTAAGTATTTCTCACCACCTAACTCAAATGCTGAAGTAGAATGGAAAGTTCACCGGACTAGCAGTCAGGAGATGTGCATTCTAGTTATATCAATTAATTTCTCCATTATGTCCCAGGAACCTCATCATTGTGCACTACTTGAGAATTCTGCATCATGCCCTGGTGCTGAAACCTTCCTGCCCTCCCCCTTCAGCTTCCTTTTATGTATTGTCTTTCCTTATTACATCTCAAGTTCTTTGAGAGTTAGGTATTGTCTTTCTTTTTTTTCCATATTTGTATCTCTAGAATTTATCATGGTGCCTGAGACATGGTAAATATTTAATAAATGCTTGTACGACCTTATGTAGGCTATTTAACCTCTCTTTATCTCCCTTTCAGCTCCAACACTATATATTTGTCATTACCATAGAGGAATGGCATGTTTCTAAGAATGTGACAAAACATTTAGTAATTTGTACAGCTACTAGCTTACTCAACAATAATATAGACATTCTGTAGGCTATTAATGAGAGGTCTGGACTTTAATTTACAGTACCTGGATACTATTATCCTTTCTGCCTCCGAATATTTCACCAAAGGCGAAAACCAGGTGTGTTGGTTTACAACAGACTCTCCAGGAAAAAAATACATGACACAATTTTATATTATATCTGAATCATCAACCTTTGCTCACATGAAAACTCAACGGACACTTGTGAGCTGATATGCGCTAGCAGCAGCACACATTTGATTTTAGCTAGTAAAAATCACTTAATGCCTTAAGTCTTAATCATACCACCTTGAAAATGATGAGAGGAAAAGTCTTAAGTAGGAATATTTTCACCTGAGACAAAAACAGTAAGCTGGGATTGGGATGGAGAGGAAAGTGGAAGTCTACAAAGTCACAAAGCTATTAAATTTCAAAGGCAGAATTGAACTTAAGTCCAATTTCAGTGCCCATTCTTGCTTTACAAATGAAGACCCTTCCACCTAAAGACTTAAAGATACTGTCCCAAGGTCACACAGTTACCAAATAGCAAAGCCAAGATGATGACAGTCTTCAAATATTTGAGGGGCCATTACATGTAAATTACTTTGGAATTGCCTTTAGCCAAAGAGTCCAGAATGAATGAAGTTGCAATGAATGAAATTTGCAGAAAGATAGATTTAGGTTTGAGGGAAAGAAAATCATCCTAACAACTAGAACTATCCCAAAGTGGAATGGGTTTCTTTAGAGTAAAGAGTCTCTTTACTGAAGGTCTGCAAGCAAAGGATGGATGAGCATTTATCAGGTATGTTGTAGAGGGGCTTCTCTTATTTAGTTATTAGTTGTACTGCATCTACAACATCCCTTCTAGTTCTGATATCATATGGTAATTTCTATATCATGATTAGATATCAGAAAGGCATTTTAATGGAAAAACAGGATATAACCTTTTAAAAACAGATAAGAAAAATGAGACTAACAAGAAACTAAGTGAGTGGAGAATAGGTGAGGAGCAGGTAACAGGAAATACAGTCACTTTGGGAGAGGGGACAGTCTGATCCCAATCTACTTGACTGACAGGGTGAGGGGGATGGCAGCTAGACATATAAGCTCAAAAATTCCATGAACAGCTATGATTTGGAGGAAATAATAGTCCTAAAATATTGGTATCATTGAATTTGTTAGAGTTCTGTTAAATTTTAAGAAAATTTAATAAAAATTTCACTACATTTTACTATGAGTTTAAATAAAGTAGGGATATATCTGTTTTGATCTATCTGCTCTAACATGGACTAGCATTTCTCCCCAGAGATTATGTATTAAATGAAACTTCTTGAACAGAATGTCAGAAGATTCCTCAACGACACCAGAGATGTTAGGAGAGAATTCAAAATATGACATAATTACCTAATGGGGCTAGAAGCAGAATCTGGATCTCTTGCCATCACAGTACCAATGATGGTACCCACTTCAATATCTTCATGGACTTCAAATAAGTAAGAGGATCTACTGAAAACTGGTGGCTCATCCACATCCTCTACAGATATTTTCACAATGGTAGTATCTTTAAACGGCCCAAGGTAGTAGAAACGTGGATCCACATGAGTGTTTTCTGCCTCAACCTTCAGAGTATAAAGTCTTCTGCTTTCATAATCCAGAGGCTGTAGAAAGAAATGTCATTGAGATAAAGTAGAGGAAAAAAATCCTCTTTCTCTAAGTCAAAGGATGATTTTTAAATCCATCTTCAAGATTAGGTTTACATTGAAAATATTTATAGAGTCCTAAATCTGAATTGCCTTGTTCAGATAATATGCATTTATATATATCATAGTTATAATTAAATCCTTATTCTAATAAAGAATGAAAACAATTTATAATACTTGAAAATAAAATAAATTTATTTTTCTTTTATTTTGGATCTTGTTCAATGTTGAAAGATCTTAAATGAATCTACTTTAATTAAAAATTAGAATTACCTCCTAGAAAGAATTCAGCTGCAAATTTAATATAGACTTCCATTTTCTTTTTTTTCCCCTTATTTCTATATAAAGGCAGTATTGTATAGTGGATAGTGAGCTAGCCTCAGAACCAGGGAGACCTGAGTTCAAGTCTTGCTTCTGACATCTATTGACCATATGACCAAGTCACTTAATATACTACAAAGATCTGAATTTAAGAATACCTTAAAATATCAAGCTGTGTTAGTTAATGTGCCCATTTTATTTTTTATCCTTGGGAAAGGAAATAGAGATCATAAGATAAAAAAAAAACTGCATTTCAAATTAAAATGTAAATATCTCCATTTTTATTTAAAGTGCATTTAAATAAGAGAAATTATAGTAAAAGATTTTTGAAAATGCACTGTATCAATTGATATGCCTAGTCCTTCCAATGTAAATCCCTCAATAATCTGGGCAACCCTTTAAAACTAAAAGTGGTAGAGATATTATGCCAACTTATGTTTGTAATGGGAGACTCCTCACCTAAAGATTCTGCGTAACAATGAAATCACACATTTGGCCCCTATCCACATTTCTGTACACACATGGATGGTTTTGTTTATGTTTCTTTAATTTGACTAAGGTACTCCCAACCCCCAGTATCTCATTGCAAGTAATATGTGAAAATTTAAACGCTGGTTGCTTCTGGTTTTAGCATATTGTAGCAAGACATTGTCAATGGATGAGACAATGAAGTATATGTTTACTGAATTTAGTTTTAGTAATAGTGGGTCTCCTTCAATAAGTCCAGTAAAATGGATATACTACTTTGTTGTGAAAGCAAACAACACACACACACACACACACATACACACACACAATTTTCCAAGTTTTTTGGTAATCAGTGGAAGCAAACTAGAGAAAACAAACGTGTAATCTATTGGGCCAGTTTAAAACATGCCTCCTTTTTCGACTGTTAGGCAGCAGGCAGCCGCAGAAACTTTGCTGAAATATTTGAACTAAAGGAGGCCTTCATCTACTACACTGAGAACCCAATTCCTAGATTCCTTCCTACTAAATCTTAGCCTTTAGTGTCCAAGGAGAGTTATAGCTATCTGATGATGGCTTTTAGGTCAAAATTATCAGCTCACTTAGGATCATGCTTGAGAAAAGATAGGATGAGGGATCTTTTCCGACAGAGATCAGAGAGAGCACTACTGGAAAGAAAGATTGTTGTCAGAGGGGCATTTTCCATCTGAGAATTTATAAGTGACTTCAGGTATTTTAGGTGGGTTGTACAGAAGAGAAAATTGAGCAGTCTTGAAAGTTTCAGGTTGTACTGAGTTGTCATAATGAAGACTTCTTTTGTTATAGCAAAACCAAAGGGCTTCTAACTAATAAAACTCTTGGTTTCCTAGGGTAATGAAAATCCCAGGTTTCAGGGTAGTGTCTACTCTAGAACCAACATTATTAACATTTCTAAAAAAAGTAGGTTGGCCTTTCTTTGCCACTGACATTTATTAGCAAGACAAATATGAGTAACAAAAATGGGTATGATTTAATACCCATTTCTCATTAGTCTTTAGCATAGGAATGAGTTAAGTATATTATCTTTACTTAAACAAACAAACCTAGACTAATCATTTTATTGCCTGACCTGATAACTCTAGTAGCAGTAGAGTGGTAAGGAATTATCAATGACAAAAGAATATACAAAAATGGAAGATTATATTATTTTTAACCTCTGTAAAGCCAAGTCAATGGAATAAGATGAAGATTCTCTTTTGCTTCAATAAAAATGATTCAGTAGAGATTCTGAGGAGATTTTTTACCCTGTTCCTAAGAGCAAAGGTTTTTCTGTCCATCCACATTCCTTTAAAAATATTCCAATGGGAACAATAAAAAAATGGTGAAATTTGTAAAATTCTCTAAAGTTCTTCTTATTTTTTTGTATAGATTTTCATATGTTGCCGGGTATTTTATTTTAATTGAGTTCAGTAATTAGGAAAAATTTTGTACAGACCTTTGTATACTAAAACACATGATCTTTCTCCCTTCCTCCCCCCCCCCCCCGCCGGCAATTGGGTTAAGCAACTTGACCAGGGTCACATAGGTAGTTAAGTGTCAAAGGCCATATATGAACTCAGGTTCTCTTGATTTCAGGGCCTGTGCTCTATCTACTATGCCACCTAGTTACCCTGATCTTGTTTTCAGGGTATATATTCATTATGGTGTTTCCAATCTGAGTAGCTCTTACTCATTTCTCAATTTTACATTTCAAAGAATAACTTTTCTAAATAAATCTAGTCTTTAACACTTTCAGTTTGATCAAATAATTTAAAATATATGAAATATACCCTGAATTTGTATATTTTAATGTATACTTTTGATCATCCTTTTCTATACTATTTTACCTTTTGGTCCTGACCATATTTGTATGTGTGTGTGTGTATGTGTGTGTGTGTATGTGTGTTTTAATAGAAGTATTGTATGACTTTTTCACAAAAGAAGACATAAAATGTGAATATGCTTTGTTTTAGCTTAAAACAAACAAAAAAATTCTAAAACTCAGTCATTTTATCAGGAGGTTCCTTGAAGGATTGTGAAATGTATAAGAGTATACATACCATCTTCAAAGAAAAGGAGAAAAGAAAGAAAAAAAAACACATGACTCTAATGAACATTAGAGTCATTGTGTAGGGAAAATATGTACTACCAGTTAAATACATCTTAATGAGATCTCTGCATTTCTTGCATAAGCCTCAACTGAGAATGGAAAACACCTTAAATTGTGATTTTTCTTTTTTTTAATAATAAGACTATTTGTTAAGAATGAAATAATTTTTCTTTTTTATTTTTGGTGAGGCAATCAGGATTAAGTGACTTGTCCAGGGTCACACAGCTAGTAAGTATCCAGTGTCTAAGGTCACATTTGAACTCAGATCCTCCTGACTCCAAGGCCATAGCTCTATATATTGCACCATCTAGCTTCCCCTAAGAATGAAATAATATTTTAAAGACAAAAGCTTTAATTAAATTTTTATTTTATTTTATTTTTGGCTAAGCAATCGGTGTTAAATGACTCGCCCAGGGTCACACAGCTAGTGACTTAATTTTTAAAATGCTCCCATAGTTCTATTCAATTTGAAAAGTCTAATGCACTTTGTGACATATTTTGTAACCTGCATGCAATATTTTCAGAAAGTACTTTATAAAATATAATATTTTAAAGGTCATATCATAATTAGAAAATTTATTGAAACAAAAAGGGAAATGCTCATCTTGACTTTTTTTGGCTATTACAAGTACAAAATAATAGCTAATTAATTGTATCCAGAAAATTGAGAGGCCTCCCGAGAATTACACTCAAATCAGTGCTAACCTCATTAGATTGCATTCAATCTCTCTCTGTTACACTCATATCCCTGTTTCCATTCAGCTACTGGCCAGCTCTTTTCTTTGACTTACTAAAGAATAATTTTTAGAAAAAAAACACCAGTAGAGTGCTAATGCAGAGTTACACTTACTACTCTATTCTAAGAAGTCACATATTTCCCTTTGTATCATCTTGGTTTGAAGCTATCTGTTTGATCCATTTTTAACTGCTGACTATTCATAGATTCATTCAGTTCACCAAAACATGACCTTATTTTTTTCTTTTCTCTTTTGTACTCTTCTCTTTTGTTTAAACCACATAGACTTTGTGGATGGTCTAATCTAAAATACCTTTGATACAAATAGTTTTACGCTGGTCTCAATTAAATGTAATTTCAATCAATATTTATTAAATGTTTACTATATGCAAGGCACTTGATAGCATTTCTATGGGTTTCAAGGTCACAGTAAATGAAAACAATCCATATCACATAAGAAGAAATTGAAATAATTACATTTTTCTTTAATTTGTGCTGTTAATCTGGTTTTATTATCCACTCTAATTATTGTTTCATGAATCATGAAAGGTGCTGTGTTATTTCCTTGTGACTCTCTTAATTGTGACACTGCATCTTTGTCTGATAAGTCATACTCACTTATGAAACAATAATACTATCAGTTCAGTCATTTTCAGTTGTGTCTGACTCTTTGTGACCCTATTTGGGATTTTCTTGGCAAAGATACTGGAATGGTTTGCCATTTCCTTCTCTGGCTCATTTTATAGATGAAGAAATTGAGGCAAACAGGGTTAAGTGACTTTACCCAGAGTCACATAGCTAGTAAGTGTCTAAGGCCAGATTAAAACTCAGGAAGACCCCTGGCCTGGCACTCTATCCACTGTGCCACCATGTGGCTATTACTAACCTATATTATATGAGCCAATACTATGAAAATAGAAGGGGAAAATGGCTCAACGGCCTTTAATATTTTATAAAATGCTCTAGTTTCATTTATTTCATCAGCTATCCTTTGGTCACAACAATTTTCTTTTGAAGGAGTCCCCTGACTTTGTCTTTCCTGAATTGTGCCAAACATATTTTTAATACAACATCAAATGCCAAAGTCCCACTACAGCTCTTTGAATTCATAGAGTTTCCATGAGCACTGAATATATTTTACGCTATACTCCCTAAACTAGTAGGCACTTGATTAATACTGAACATGTGCACCTTTCTCACAGTAAGGATGCCTTCCTGGGTGTCCTTCTGAGTTAAGATGTCAAACATATCAGTTCCATCTCCATCAATAATTCTATATTCTATTTCAGCATTTTTTCCAGTGTCAGCATCCGTTGCTTTCACACTGCCAATGGCTGTGCCAACTGGGGAAGATTCAGGAACACGAAGATGGATAGTGTCTGCAAATAAAAAAAAGCAACTTTAGCAGGGGTTCATAAGTACTGGGAAAACATGTAGTAATAAAAACAAAAGATATCCTCTTACATAAAAATACAGAAAATACTAACCAGAGTTATTGTTGTGTTCCAAATGTTCACTTGATGGTAATCATTAACTAATCATCCAACAGCTCTTAATCATTAATAATATGTGTAATTCTATATTGATGTCCAAGTTGGAGGAGGAAGGAAAGAATAAGAAAGCCAGTACATTTTTCCCTAATATTCTTGGACACTTTATGGGGAAAAAATGTGCTGTATAATTTTGTGTTCTTCTGTGTACTTGATATACCTGCCCTGTGAGATGTCATCTTTTACTATACTCACATTTGGTGATCATATCAGATTCATGGGATAAATTATCATCTTTAGAGATGACTCATTTATCTATATACTGATCTTTGGCCTTTTTCCTGAGTTCAGGTTTGCCTTTGAGGAAAAAGGAAAGAGGAATCAGACTGCCTAAGAGAATCACAGCATTTGAGAGTTGGAAGGCACCACAGCAGGTATCTAATTTTAACCCACAACATAAGTTATTGTTTGTGGTCCAAGAAGTAGCAAAGCTTAGTCAAGATTTCAAATCTCACCATCAATAGATATTTTTAGCTGTGTGACCATACACATGACAACTCATTTTCTGTTTCCTCATCTCTAGAATGAAACTAATAATTCATGTAGTATCTTTCTCAAAGAACTATTGGGAGGTTATATATGTAAAATATATTTCCTACATTAAAGTGTTGTTTCACAGAATTAAAGAATCACAAAACTTGAGCAACCATCAGCAACTATGTTGTCTAATATGTATACAAAACGAATCCCAATTATAACAAAGCTCCTTTTGCCTCTTTGGAATTTCCACTCATTGCTCCTGGTTCAGCCCTCTAACTCCAAACAATAACTCTAGTCCCTCCTCCACAAGACAATCCTTCAACGATTTAAAGTTAGGTATCATGTCTCCCCTAAGTCTTTTCTCTGGGCTAAACATATCTGGGTCCTTCAAAATAACCACATCCATCATGCATAAAAGGCCCTTCACTATCCCAGATACCACATTTTCTTTCTTTAGACTCTTAAAAATGACTTATACAGACAATATTTAATGGAATTTTGCTGTAATTAAATGAGAAAATGATCCAAACAAGTCAAAATAACATTTCCAATAGTCATAGAGGAAAATAGACATAGCCATGATCTTCTTTTAAAAATTTTAGTTGGAGAATTATGTTATCATGATTAAAAATTAAATATAGTTATTTGGTGATGCAAGTCTTCTAAGAGTACATGAAATTATCATCTTCTGACAGTTCTTTTCAAATTTTTAAAAAATTTTCCAACCAACAATAATCTGTCACTTTGGCATGGAGTTGTTTTTGCTATTTTTTTTTTCTAGAAAAGTAATTGATAGTTCCTTTTTTTCTAATGCTGTTAAAGACATTTTTAAATTTTGTTTGTCTTGAAAAATCTCACTCCAATAACTCTGTATTTTCTTTTAAAAGAATGAAAAAAGTTTTATTTCTTTCCAATTCCATTAGAATGGTCTGTTCCATAGGCTTGACTGTTGGGATTTCCACTAGGGAAATGTCCTACTTTTTATTTTCTGGTTCAGGGACTTTAAAATTACTTAATTTGGATTCTTAGAGGCATAACTGGGTTGTGAAAATCTGATTGTAGTTAAATAGCCATCACAATTATGTTCAGAGCTCTGTAACAATGTTAAAATTTATTACTTTTTTCCTCCTTTGTTAAAGATCTACTCCACTTCCCCACTGTCCTGTGGAGATGAAGGTGTCTTGCCCCAAACAAAGTCAATAGGGTGAGAATTCTGGCAAGTCAAAGAGTGTGCTGGTAAATAATTAACAATTGTCTTTCTGGGAAAACAAATGGATACATGGCCTTTTTTTTCTTTTTCCTCTTTTTAAAAATTTACATTGTCATTTATTTCCCCCCAGTTACATGTAAAAACAATTTTAACATTTGTTTTTAAACTTTGAGTTCAAAATTCTCTCATTTCTACCTCCCCATCACCCCTAATTGAGAAGGCATGCAATTTGATATAGGTTATGCATGTATAGTCATGCAAAATATATCCTTAAGTCATGTTGTGAAAGAAAACATAGACAAAAAAACCCAAAAAATAGAGAAAGTAAAAAAAAAAGTATGCTTCAATCTATATTCAGACACCATCAATTCTTTCTCTGGGGATAGTTAGCATTTTTCATCATAAGCCCGTCAGAGTTGTCTTGGATCATTGTATTGCTGGAAATAGCTAAGTCGTTCACAACTGATCATCTTATAATATTGCTATTACTTTGTACACAGTACAATTCACTTTGCACCAGCTTAGATACATGACATTTTTAAAGATTAATTTGCACTTAGCATTTTCTCTATCATTTTATTAAGACTAGGTTAAAACAAAAAACTCAAGCCTGATTTGTAGTATTTACTAATTTCAAAGGCATACATACTCACACTTAATATGTAACAATCAACTCCCTAGTGCTAGTACAAGTTAGCTACACTACACCATTGGGAAAGTCCTGGTAAGTTCGAAAGGCTGCTTCTAAAACAGGCTTGGAGTTATACTTGTTAATTTTTTTAAAATTTCTAAAGACTGAGAAAGTCAAGTACTACAGTCAAATTCCTCACTGCTCTATTTTTAATGGCTTTTAAAGTTTTATATTTATTGACAAGGCGTAATAGTAGTTCATGATGCACTTTACATATTCCAGAGAAAGTTGTGGTCCCAGTCACTATCTGTTTATAAAAGAAATCTTGTGCATTTTAGAAAAAGCTATTTGCATCCAGAGAGAGAACTGATAGATAGAAATATGTATATGATTTTACATACACACATACGTGTATATATTGATAGATAGATGGATTTGTTTCTAATGATAGTCATCTTATGGAGGTAGGAAGAAAAAAAAGAAAAAAAGAAATTTACATGATAACTTTATTATATATTTAAAAGGAATAGCAAGTTGTACATAACAGACTTGCAGTTTAGTGTGGATTCATCTTTTTTTATTATACAATGTTATGGAAATGCATGTTTTATTCCATAAATATAAAAAAATAAAAAGTTTTAAAAAAGAAAGAAAAGATATTAAAAAGTAGGACACATGCACAGAGCAATATGATTAGGAATCAAGGCACCTGGGTTATAATCTTGCTCTGCTAGTACCTAGCTATTTGACCTTAAGCAAGTTTCACACCTCAGCCTACTCAACTATAAAATCAGAGGATTGAATTTGCTAATTTCCAAGGACCCTTTCACATAATAAAATTCTATGATTCTATTATGTATCTCCTTTATCAAAAATTCATTACTGAGAGTCTGACAATTTTATAGGATATAAGGTCTTTTAAATTTTTATTTAGAAATATTTCTCTAGCTAGATTTTCAAAGGCTAGATAAGGCTAATATAAATATATAAGCATATGGTTGTACATAAATATGTTCCTATAGATGCACACCTACATACATCTGTGTATGCTTCTATGTGTATATGTATTACGGGAATCATGTGTATGTACACTGTGAACATATGTAAATTTATATGTACATATACATTCATATATTTCAAAATGATCCTAAAATCCATGGGTATGTGTGCATGTGTGTGAGTAGGTACGTATATATTTGTGTATCTATATCTATCTATGAATTTGAATTTTAGAGTCATATGGGAATTATTTTTTGGCATATCAACTTTATTCATTACAGACTTGCTTACTGATGAGAAATGCTATGCAGTCAATTCTGAATCATTGAGTTGGATACGACTGAAAAATGTCTGAACAAGAAGAAAAAACATTTCATTTGCTGTGTCTGATACATATATTCATATATACACATATACATATACATATGCATTTATATATATAATATACACATTCATCCCTATGCACATTTGTGTATGTACATTCATATATTTCTGTGTATGTACAGATACACACCCATATTATATATATATATATATATATACACATTATATATACACCTATGTATACATGTATATATAGATAGCATCCCAAAAATCTTAGTGTAGATTTAAGATGAACAACTTTAGAAGAATAAATGCTACACACACATACATATACACACAGCATTTGAAAGGTTAATTATTTAAACATTTTAAATATTGATGTTTCTTATTAAAATTCAACACAATTCCTGTCTTGGACAACTTTACATTGGTTTTTGAACTTTGCATCAAATTTTATCAGGGGCTGCTCAGTGACCGAAAAAATCACATTTGTAATACTAGCCTCAAAATCATTCAAAGAATGAGATTTTGTTGCATATACAATAGTTTGACATGACCCCCCAAGAAAAAAAAATTCTATTGGAGATAAGGCATATGACTAAGATTGTCAAGCAAGAAGACTTTCTCTACTGATCCATCAGTCTCAGAAACTGTCACATATGCAATACATACTGATAGGGTGGCCTGTTTTGTGAAAATTATTTAAAAGTCACAAAAATATATAAGTGTAAAGGAAATTTAAATACACTTTCAAATCACGATTTTTTTGGGGAGGGGAACTAAAAAGTTAAGCCCAAACTACGTGTAAGTTTTTGACATTAATGCTTCTGAAGTTATCAAAGCTTAAAACTGCTTTACTATATAGGGACACTGTATAGAAAGAAAGATGGACTGACAGAAAACAGAGAAAGACACAGAGAGAGAGAGAGAGAGAGAGATTGAGAGATATCTATATTAATCCTGTTGGTCCTGCTCAATGGGCTATGTATACATATATATCATAGTCCTGACCATGAACTTACTGACTTGATGTCTACTTGCATGGATTTTCAGCTTGAATTCTTTTGAGTGTTTGTAATCTCAGTTGGATGCCCTATAGTGCTCAGGGTTTGGCTCAAACAAACAAACAAACAAACCACAATATCATTTATAGGGACATCTGGAGGGCCTCGCTATCTATAGGTA